CAGCAGCAGGCATGTGTCGTGCGTCGGTGCGCGCCAGCGACGCCGGCCTCGCCACGGCGGTGGCCCAGATCGTGCAGAGCCACCTCGCGGCGCCGTGATGCAGTCACGCGCTCGCGGGCCAAAACCTCGCCCTACTGTGACTGGCCGCGAGGCCGGAATGTCGGCGGCGCGCGCCGCGCGCCCGACACGAGGACACATGGCCGCGCTCGTTTTGTACGGTGTGTCGCTAGGGGGCAGTCGTTGCCCCGGGGGGATTGAGGCAGGGGATGGGACGGGCGGCGGCGGTATAAGAGAGAGCGCGCGGAGGTTGAGGGAGAGTTTAAGAGAGGTAGAGAGACGGGGTTGAGGGGAGAGAGAGAGTGCAGGGCGTGGAGAGCATCGCTCGTCTCATAAAATCGCATTCTAGAGCTATTAATATAATTTTAATATTAGAAATTACACCTGGCAAAATCTCTCCACTCTCGGCATATATCATATTAATTAATTTATGTCTACGCGTACTAATCTACATGCTACTTAGTACTCTTTGAGATATATCTTACGTCAACCATTGTTGTAGCGGCACAACGACGAAAGACACTAGACACCGCGAGAGACGGCAGAGCGCAGACGCGCGCGGGCTACAACGTACAAGACTCAAGACACAAAAAGAGAGCACGAGGCGCGTACACACGTGTGTCGGCCGCTCATTCCCCCCTAAAAAAGGGGTGATTTCCCCTCTCGTGACTTGCACGCTCATGTGTGTGTTCGAGTGTGTTCGGCCGCTCATCAATCCATGGGCTCGGGCGTCAGCGTGGCCGTCGAGGCGGGCGTGGGCAGGTCGGAGCCGGCGCTCGGGGTGAACGATCGCTGCATGCGCAACGCCGCGACCGGCGTCCCCGCCGGAGCGCTGGGCATGCCACCGGCGGCGGCGGCGGCGCTCTCTCTGCTCTCGCGCGCTCGCCGCGCGAGACGCTTCTGCAGAAAGCGCGCGATCTCCCACGGCCCGTCCTCGGTGTAGTCTAGCCACGCCTCGGTCGTGCCCGGCGTCCACCGCGCCGCGCTGCCGAACTCGCTCAGCGCTATCTCCTCGGCGCGGCGGCGGCTGTCCGCCTCAGAGGCGCCTGGCGCGTCGGTGGCGCGATACACGTCCATGGCGATGTGCTCCGCCGCGCGCTTGAGGTCCATCTGCAGCGACTCGTCGCAGCGGTCGAAGGCGGACAACCACTCCTCCTGCTTCCGCTTCCGCGCGTCGGCGCACAGCTCCTGCGCGCGCAAATAGTCGGAGACGATCTTCACCTTGAGCACGTCCACGTGGCAGAAGAAGTGCTCCCAGAATGTCGCCTCGGAGATGCTGCCCGGGACCAGCGTGTCGATCGCCTTCTGAATCAGCGGCCCGAGGCCGCGGTCCCGCAGCGCCGCCGCGGCCGCGGCCGCCTCGTGGTCGTCTAGCTCGTGGTCGGGCGAGTCTGTGGGCTCCAGCTGGTCGGGCCGGAAGCAGAGCGCCTCCGGATCGTTGGTGAGCAGGAGCTTGACGTGCGATATTACGAGCCACCGCACGTCGTCCGGCACGCCCTCCCACAGCACGAGCTCAGTGCCGTCGCTGTCGCCGCCAAAATCGGCGGTGAGCTTCTTGGCAGCGGTGCGCGCTGTCTCGACGAAGCGCGAGGTTTCCTGGCCCATTGCGCGTGGCCGAATGAGCGAGCGCAGTGTCTCACACCAACCCCGAAGCACGCACGCCCTTAGAACACGAAAAAAACGCTGATCTTGCGGAACTGGGAAGAGGACCGCCGCAAGCGGCGTGGTGTGGAGCGGTTGTGCATCCCTCCGGGGGCCCCTCTGCGCCGGGGAGGCGTTGTTGGAGGCTAGGACGCAAGCGTCCGTCGCCCTTTTCAAACTCGGGGCCCAACACTCCGCTACGTACGCTCCGACCCGAATTTGGAGGGCCTGAAAGTTTAAGGCGTGTTGCTGCGCAAAAGGGGTCGGACACAGGGCGCAGCTCATGCTAAGAGCCTAGAAGATGAGATAGAGAGAACAATCACCCTGTCCCGTTATTGCGTACACCAACACCACAAAAGCTCTCTCTCCTGCTCCCCACTCACGCGCTCAGGGGGGTCACACGAACTACCCGGGGGGGGGGGGGGGGTCCTCGCCCGATCTAGATACAACTGATCCTTGGTTGCGGCGCCCCCCCCCGTTTCCACAGTCCTTTTGGGGCTTCCACCTTCGTGTCTGACAAGCGCGCCTGGGGAACAATTCAATGCTGACTACCTTGAATTAAAAGTCCGAAAAACGGTGCAGCGCGCCCTCATAATCCCGCGCGCCGAAACGCTCGTTGCCGTTCGCCTGGGGGGGGGGGGGGCGTAAAAACCGGGGCGGGGGCGGCGACCGCAAAACGGTCCTCACCAGTGCGGCAGGCGAGTGGAGCAGCGGAGTGGAGTGGGAAATGGTTGGGTAGTAGGGCTAGAGGGTCGCTCTTAGCCTCTGCAGCGAGCGAGCGCTCAACTTAGCCCCCGCACGGAGCCGGGCTCGGACTTAGACGCTGCATGGTCGGGGGCCATGAACTTAGACGACACAAGGCCAACTCCCGGTAAAACCCGGGTATACCTGCAAAAGTCCAGGTTTACCCGAAAAATACCTGTGGACGCGTCCCGACCAACGTACCTGTTGGTATCAATAAAATTCCACCTCGGTGCAGAAAATCTTATATACTTATTCGGCGCCGGGGCGCGCTCTGCGCTGCGCGGCGTGCTCTGCGACTTGCTGGCCGCCAGGACCTCCGCACGGACTTGTGGGAACCGCCCGAGGCGAGCTCCAAAGCCGCCGCGCACTGCACATGGCAGCATTTCTGCATGGCAGTCCCAGCACCTTCTGCGGCGCCGTGCCACCCATTCCACATGGCTGCAGAAACAGCAGTACACCCTCCCATTGACCCAACCCGCAACACAAGTGTGCTCGCCTCCAGCACCCAGACGGCAGCGGCTTTGGCATCAGGCTCGTCCTTCATAGCCGCGAATGCCTTATCGGCGAGTGATCGCGTCGCGTCTGCAAAGTCCGGGTGGCGCATCGCCTCCGGAACGGTCTGGAAGCGGCCGCCGAGGACCGCGATGGCGCAAGCGTTGGAGGCGGCTCGCCGCTCCTGCAACGAAACCTTGGCGTGCGCAACGCGCAGCGCGTTGCGGTTTGAGCGCAGAGCTAACATGCTTACCGTCCGGTGCGACTTCGAAGTGGAATGTTTCTGGAGTGGAATTTTATTGACAACAACAGGTATGCCGCGCACGACGCCATATCGCCTTGTCCCAGGGCCAGTGCGCTACTTGCGGCGCGCAACTCCTGCTCAAGTACGCGCACCGTACCATGTGCTGCCGCTATGCGTGTCTTAAGGCGGCTGCGGCGAAGCGGCGGGCGCGGCATGCCGATGGCAGTGCGGACGATGCGGTTGCGATGTGTTCTGCTTCAAGATCGTGGCGGTGCTTGGCATGCACTTCTGCGATCCCAATCAGCTCATCGCAACGAAGCAGCGCAACAAGCTGGCTGCTGCCAACAAGGCCCTATGCTACCTCACGCGCGGATCGTTCAAAGAGGACCAGCATACACAGGCTCCTATGCGTTTGTTTGAGCTTGAGGCTATTTGTGAGAACTGTTTGGCTTGAAGATTGCGCTCAAGAAGAGCAACGAGAATCGGAAGAGGAGGATGCTGAGGCGGCGATTGCTGAGCATGAGAAGGATCGATCCGGATTAGAAGGCGCCGTCACCGTGGCGCAGTGTCCCCCGCTATGTGTCGCCGTCTTTCGGGGCACGCAATCCTGTGCAGTCAGGGCAAGTGGGGGCGAGGCGCACACCCTCTGGTCTATACTGGTGTGGTTCTGTCCCTAGTCTCGGAGGGGGGCTTGAAGGTAAGAATATTTTATTTCCTAATCTCTTCGTACATCCTCCTGCTGATCTCCGCAAAGTCCTGCTCCCTCCCTCGTCTCGCCCTGCGCGTCTGCTCCGGCTCCCCGTCGTCTGCCCTGCGTCGTCTGGCGACTGGTCCTCCATAGTCGGTTGATGTCGCCGCCCTCCTCGTGCCTCTTCAACGGCTGCGAAAAAATTCTTTGTTTGCGAAAAATTCCCGCGCCGGCCGAATGCTCGGCTCCTTCGCCCGCTGCTCGCTTCACACGCCGCTCCGCACGCCGCTGCGCGCGCCGCTCAGCGCGCCGTCGGCGCTCCACCGCGCCTGCTTGCCGTTTCTTCGCCCGCCTGCGGCTCGCCTCTGCACAGGCACCGGCGGACGGACAAAGACGGCGCGCGAGGGCAGGAGCCGTCGGTGGGGCCCAGTCTCTGTGCTCGAGACCGTGCCAGCCGGGCTCGTCTTTCTCGACTACCTCGGCACGGCCGCCTTCGCTGCCTCAGGGTGCCTCGTCGCCGGCCAGGCCGGCATGGACACGCTCGGCTGCGTCTTTGTCGGCACCATCACCGCGCTCGGCGGCGGGACCGTCCGCGACGTGCTGCTCGGCCGGCTGCCCGTCTTCTGGTTCCGGGAGACATCCTTCCTCCTCCTCTCGATCGGCGTCGGCCTCGCAACCTTCTTTGGCTCCGAGTCGCTCGAGACCGTGGGGCTGCTGCGCGCGGACGCGCTCTTCCTGGGCGACACGCTGGGCCTGGGCGCCTTCGCTGTCGTCGGCGCGCAGGCGGCCATTTCGGCGGCCATGCCCTTCTCCGTCTGCTGCCTCTGCGGCATGCTCACCGCCACCTGCGGTGGGCTGGTCCGCGACGTCCTCGTCGGGAGGCGCAACCAGGGCGCGCGCCACGCCGCGCCACCGCGATGCCGCGCCCGCCGTGCCGCGTCGCACACGTCCCCTCCACCGCAGGCATCCTCTACTCTGGCGAGGGCGAGGCGGGTGCGCTGTACGCGCCCACCGCGCTCGCCGGCGCCGCGCTCTACGCAGGCCTCGTCTCGGTGGTGGCGCGGCCGGCGGCCATTGTGCTCGGGGTCGGGAGCACGATTGCGATGCGGAGCCTCGCCTACTCGTACCGCGTCCGGCTGCCGGCGATGGAGCGCTTCGTCAGCTCGGAGCAGGAGTCGGCGCCACAGCCCGGCCTCGCAGTCGGCGACGCGCACATCTTTGTGACTGCGTACGGCGCCGACCGGCTCGGGCTTGTCGCGCGGCTGAGCGAGTGCATCTCGGCGGCGCGCGCAAACATCTCCGCCTCCAAGATCATCACCATCGGCGACGACATCGCCTTCATGATGGTCGTGTCGGCGCCGTCCGGCGGGGCGGACGCGCTGCGCAAGTCGCTCGTCGCGGCGGGCAGGCAGGGCGGGCTGCGCGTGGAGACGTCGCGGATCGACGTCTCGACGCCCGAGGGCAAGATTGGCCGGCGCCCCTCGCTCGGCGGCGCGGCGTGCGCGCGTGTCGAGCTGCTTGGAGTCGACCAGCCCGGCTTGGTCTCCCGCGTCTCCTCCTTCCTCGCGACACACGGCCTCAACATCCAGTCGCTCGACTCGCGCGTCTACTCCGGCGCCGCGCATGCCACCGACGGCGGCGACCATGGCGCCCCAGGGCACGCGGCCCGCCGCACGCCCTCGTACCGGCAGGCCGCCGCCAGGGCGGTGGAGACGGGGGTGAGCCGAGCCGTCACCGCGCGCGCCGAGGGCGACCTCTTCTGCCTCTCGGCCGTCGTCTCGAGCGAGCGGCACCCCGATTTTGCGCAGCTGCAGGCCGAGGCGGCCGCCTTTGAGGCGCGCCACGGCGTGAGCCTGACCATCCAGCCGCTCGAGGCGGCCGCGGCTGTCGAGCAGAGGTGAGGCACGCGCACGGAGAGGCGTGAGGTGTGCGGCAGACCGTAGAAACACGAATCATGATATCAGAATTCAAACCGAGACCGCACAGGGAGTAGAGTCTGGCAGACACATATACTGTACGCGAGAGAGACTTATGGTCTTATGCACGTGTTTCTTCCCAAAACTGCGCACAAACCAGCGATATATGCTCACGCGCTCTCCCTCGAACCAGCAGCAACACACGCCTCGGCCGCAAAGACTCCCGAGTCGGGATCGCCACATGCATACCGGTGGTCAGAGCTGCGGCTCGCGGTACTGTCCGGCCGGCCCGAGCGAGACGGCGGCGGTGATAGTGGCGAACGCCAAGCCGACGGCGAGTAGGCCCCACCCCCACGGGCACTGGCCACCGCACTTCTCCCCGGCGGTGGCGTCGTGCACCGTGCCGACGAGCGACGGGCCGAGGAAGCCGCCGAGGTTGCCGACCGAGTTGACGACGGCGATCGACGCGGGCGCGAGCGGCGCGGGCAGCCCGCCCATGTGCAGCGCCCAAAAGACGGGCACCGCGGTCTGCACCGCCACGTCGGCGGCGGCGACGAGCGAGACGAGGCCGAGGGAGGGCGGACCCGACGAAACGACCATCGCGGTGGCGGCGAGCAGCAGCAGGCCGGCGCCGGCGCCGAGGAGCCGCACGACGGCGGCGAGCCGGCGGGCGTGCCCTCCTGCGTCGGTGTAGCGCGCGACGAGCGGCATGGCGGCCACCTTTGCGACGGCGGGGACGGCGAGCAGCCAGCCGACCTGCGCGGTAGAGTGCGGCAGCTGCTGTTGCTGCTGCTGCTGTCACCTCCGGTCCACACGGGTACCCCCGTGCTAGGACAACAAGGCCCCACGGGACACGGCATCTCCACACTAGGCGGAGTCACACATGTGCGGCAGCGCCTCGGAGGAAGTGTCTCGGAAGTGTCTCGGAAGTGTCTCGGAAGAGTCTCGGACGGATTTGCCGACCTGCGCGGGCGAGGTGCCGGCGGGGAGCGCCTCGCGGAGCTGCGTGGGGAGGAAGAAGCGCGACACGTTGAGCATCATGCTGCAGCCGACGTACTGCACCGCAAACATCCACGTCCGCCGCTCGCGCAGCGTGGTGCGCAGCGAGCGCTTCAGCGGCGGCGGCGGCGCGGCGCTCCGGCGGCCTCGCCCCACGGCGGCGAGGAGCGCGTCGCGGCGGCGGGGAGGCCAGCCGCGCAGCCAGCTCGTCGCCTCGGGCGACTCGGCGAGCAGGAGGGGCGTGCAGGCACCGAGCGCAATCGCGGGGAGGCCCTCGAGGAGGAGGAGCCAACGCCAGCCGCGCACGCCGCGCACGCCGTCGGTGAGCTGCATGAGCAGGCCCGAGCCCGCCGTGCTGAGCAGCCCGCCCGCCGACGTCGCGGTGGCGAAGAGGGCGACCGCGCGGCCGAGCGACTGCGGCGGGAACCAGCGCGAGAGCAGAAACAGGCAGCCGGGGTAGAAGGCGGACTCGGCGAGACCGAGGAGGAAGCGCAGCGCGCAGAGCGCGGCGGCGTCGCCGACGAGCGACGTCGCAGCCGACACCGCACCCCAGGATATGGTTGAGACGGCGAGCACACGGACGGGCCCGATCCGGCTCGCCAGATGGTTCGACGGCACCTGCATCAGCCCGTACGAGAGGTAGAAGAAGCCGGACGCCACGCCGAATGACTGCGCCGTCAGAGCGAGGTCCTGCTGCATCTGAAGTGCCGCGAAGCCCAGGTTGGTTCTGTCGACGATGTTGAGCACGTAGCCGAGCCACAGGACGGGCACCACGCGCCACCACAGGTGGCGAAAGATCTCATCGTGCTCCTCGTCGGACGCCGCCTCCTCGCACGCCGGGTGCAAGGCTGACGACTCCCGCAAAGCGGCCAGCTCCTCGTCGGCCATCGCTTGGTCGTTGGGAAGCCAGAGCTCCCTCGCACGACACTGGGCACGGGACTGGCGCGTCTGGGTGTGCCCGGGGGTGGGGTGGAGTGCGCGCCGCCGTAAAAAACCATTGTTTTTCTCTTTTCCGAGCAGCTTCGTTTTTTTAACCTCTCTTGACGCGCGCTCCGCCGCCTCTGCCGCCTCTGCCGGCAGCGCACAGACTCTCTCACGACTGCTCCAGTCATTGCCAGTTCCGCCGCGGCGCTCAACCCGCACGATATGGCGGCGGTGCCCTCGAGCAGCCCCTGCGGCACAATTTCTGGCGCCACGCACATATAGTGCTCGATCCCCAGTGCCGCCTGTGCTGGCCGGCCAAACACGATTGTTTGTCGGTCTTGAGATGTGGCAGGTCGCTCGGCACGGTGGCGAAGCGATTCTCGTCGGAGTCGACGCGGATCGGCAGCGCGGTGCGTGTCAAGTCGGCGATCAATCATGTCGGCGATCAATGTCGGCGATCAATCATCGGCGATCAATCAGCGCCAGACGAACGAACTCGTTCTTTTTTTTCTGGGCGCCGGATACCTTCAAATCGTGTTCACACCGGGCTGTGAGATTTCCCACGCCAACAACAACGCGCCCACTCTTTACGGCAACCGCGCGCGCTTCCTCCGCTCCTCCAGCCGCAACCTCGCCGCGGCCACGGTGGCGTCGTTGTTGCGCCGCGCCGCGGCCGGGCCGGGCGGCCCCGACTCGTCGCCGGCGGGCCGCCCGCCTCCGCCTCCGCCCGCCTCCGCCCCCGCGCCGACCTCCCCGTCGCCGCGCCAGTGCCCCCCCACGCCGCCGAGCCGGAGCACCCGCTTCGCCTCGGCCAGCCGCGGCGTGAGCTCCTGCAGCCACGCTGGCTCGACGGCGCACGCGTGCTGCATGACCAGCCGGCCCACCCACGCGAGCTCGCTGAAGACGACGTGCGTCGCGCTGCTCAGCAGCTGCTCGTTGCCCGCCCGCGCCTGCACCGTCTGCGGCGGCTCACCAAGCGTGACAAAAGCGCGGACGGCGTGCGCCCGCCGCGCCGCGTGCATAAAGTGGCCCGCGCAGATGGCGCGGCGGCAGCGCGCGCGCGCCTCGGCCGCGGAGTGGGCCGCCGTCGCCTCCTCCCCGCCGCCGCGAGGGCCGGACTTGGAGAGCAGGCTGAGGATCTGGGTGCGCACGCTGTGCGCCGCCCGCAGCGCGCGGCCCTGCAGACCCCGCTCTGCGCACCACGCCTCGCGCTGGTAGTGCGGGACGAGCGCCCAATCCTCGTACGCGGAGAGCAGCGTCATGTGGTCGCCGTCGGCGCTCTCGTAGTGCAGCCGCGACTCGGCCGCAGCCTCGCGCAGCCACGGCGGACCCGCGCGGCAAAAGACCTCCTCGCCGCAGACGAGCGCACACACGCTCGCCGCCTCGTCGCGGCAGCCGAGCGCCGCCGCGGTGAGCATCGTCTTTGAGAGCGACGGCTCGAGCGGCAGCTGCGCCATCGCCGCGCCGGCGGCGGTGAGCTCGCCGCGCCCGTCGAGCGCGCCGAGCAGGAAGAGCTGCCTCAGCGCCGCGTGCACCGCCTCCGGCTCGGGCGGGTCGAGCCAGTCGAGCGCCTGCTCGCAGCGAGGAGGGCGTGAGGAGGCGGTCCGGGCTAGATCGCGACGTCGAGCGGTCGCCGAGCGCCTCTGGCCGCGCCACCCCCATCTCCTTGAGCGAGAGGACCACCTGCAGCCAACGCGAGAAGAGTGAGGCACCCGCCACCAGAGACTCGCGCCGCCCTCCGGCGCGGGAAGGGGCACATTGGCGAGGTTGGACCGCCGGATCTCGGGCTGGGGCTCGGAGGCCATCCCCGCAAGCTGATCCTCGCTGTACAGCCGCCACACCTCGCCCGCCGCCGTGCGGCCGGCGCGGCCGGCGCGCTGCACCGCGTTGCTCTGCGAGATCGGGACTACCGACAGGACCTATGGTAAGGGAGGGTAAGCTAGGCTTCTCCGCACAAGGGCGCACGAGGTGGTGGGGCAAGGGGCCAGGCAGCCCTCGCGACTCCACGTCTTGACGACAGGAGCCCCACGGCATTCAACGTGCAAAGCCCGGTGCGCGTGGGCGATGTGTGTGTGCTTGTGTGTGTGTGTGTGTTGTGGTGTGTGCGCGTGCGTGTGCGTGTGTGTGTGCGTGTGTGTGTGTGTGTGTGCGTGTGTGTGTGTGTGTGTGTGTGTGTGCGTGCGTGCGGTGTGCGTGCGTGCGTGTGTGTGTGTGTGTGTGTGTGTGTGTGTGTGTGTGTGTGAGTGTGTGTGTGTGTGTGTGTGTGTGTGAGTGTGTGTGTCTGTGGTGTGGGGTGGAAGAGGACCTCCATGCCGCGGTCGCGCTCGTACCGCTTCTCCTTGGCGACGCCGGCGTCGATGACGGTGCGCACGCCCGGCAGCGTGAGCGACGTCTCGGCGATGTTTGTCGCGAGGATGAGCCGGCGCGTGCGCGGCGGCGGCGGCCGAAAGACGCGCGCCTGGTCCGCCGAGGGGAGCGAGGCGTGCAGCGGGTGCACCTGCAGCCGCGGCCCGTCCGGGTCCGCCTCGAGGAGCTGCTCGGCGAGCCTGACGCGGTGCAGCGGCCGGGAGGTCGGTGCGGAGGCGGAGGCAGGGCGGGGGGTGTGGCGGGGAGGGTGGCAGGGGGGTGTGGAGGGCGGGCGGGGAGGTGGGGGGCGGCGAGTGTGGGGAGAGGGATGGCTGGAGAGGAATGGGTTGAGAAGGGTTGGGCGCGCGCCCTCGAGCGGCGTGCGCCGCCGTGGAGATCTCGTCCTGGCCGGCGAGGAAGACGAGGACGTCCTCTCCTACACGACGGTTCCGAGGAGGCTCGGGGCAGGCTCCGACAAGGCGCGAGGCGGGCGAGGGCGTCCTCTCCTGGGCCGGCCGGCCGCTGGGCGTGCACGCGCAGCGCAACCTCGAGCGCCGCCTCGAGCCGCGCGCCGTCCGAGGTGAGCGGCTTGGCGACGTGGTGCACCTGAGCAAAGGGCCCCGGGGAAGGGTCAGGCAAGGCTCCGGGGAAACCCGGCCCAACGCGGCGAGGCTGCGCCGTGACGGGAAACGTGCGCGACGACACCTCGACGACCGGAGCGTCGCGGAAGAAGCGGCTAAAGCGGGCCGCGTCCAACGTCGCCGAGGCAACGACGAGGCGGCGCGGCCCGCGCGCCCTCCCCGCCGCCTCGCCCGCCCCCTCGCCCGCTGCCTCCCCGCCCTGCAACCCGGAGAGGATCTGCTTGGCGACGGTGAGGAGCACGTCCGTGTTGATCGAGCGCTCGTGCGCCTCGTCGAGGACGACCGCGCCGTAGTGCGACAGCGCCTGGTCGCGGACCGCCTCGCGCAGCAGCACGCCGTCCGTGACGAACTTGATCTGCGTCGACGGCCCGCACTCTTGCTCAAAGCGAATGGCGTAGCCGACCTCGCCGCCCACCTCGCCGCCGCGCTCCTGCGCGACCCGCCGCGCGGCAGCGATCGCCGCCATCCGGCGCGGCTGCGTCACGCAGACCGGCCCGAAGCCCGCGGCGAGCAGCAGCTGCGGCAGCTGCGTCGTCTTGCCGCAGCCAGTTGAGCCGCGCACAACCGTGCAGTAGTTGCCCTCGATGGCCAGCCGCAGCGCCTCGCGGTCCGCCGCGCTCATCAGCGTGCCGTCGAGGCTGCTGACTCCGGGCGACGATGCCGACGGCTCCAACGTCATATTCTCTTCGAACACTCGTGCCGGCGCCGCGCTGGGGGCCTGGTCAGACCACTTCACAGCTGTATGCCTTGCTCCTTTAGGTGCTCTTTGTATATCTGACTCTTCCGCATGAGACTGCCTGAGTACACTGTCTTGTTATTCTTTTGTGCTTTGGCGTCTTGTGTGGTGTGGGTTGTTCCCCCTTCGTTGTACCCCCGTCCAGAGATCCTTTGCCTATGATGCTTTTTGTGTTCTCTCTGGGCCTTCCGCTCCTGGCCAGCGTGAATCCGCTGACATGGAGCCTCGTGAGGCGATCATACCCCGACCTTCGTACCCTCGAGGCCGCCGAGACGCTCGACCTCGGCACACGGCCCGTGGATGGACCTGTGGAGCCTCCAGCAAAAGCTGCACCCCCCTGGTGGATGCTCCGCTGCTGGATCGACGCGCCGCGATCACCCGATCCGGCTGCCGCCGGCGTCGCCGCTTGCAACTTTGACGACCGCTACCAAAAGTTCGGAGGCGCCGCCGCCGCCGCCGCCACCGCCGCCTCCCTCTCGCCGCTGAAGGCGACGCAAATGGCCCTTGACGTGCCAACGACGGGGACGCTGATCGCGCTCGCCGGCTGCGCCTCGCAGCCTGGTGTCTTCTTGACAAGTTGGCGTATCTCGGTGACGAGCGCCGTCTTGTTTTGGATGTCAGGGATGTGCGTGCCGTCGCGCACCGCAAGCGCGACGTGCAGCAGGCGCTTCGTGGTGCTGTCGGTGCCGGCGGCCGCCGCAGCGGCCATGTGCGTGGCGTCCACCATAATGGTGTCGCCTCCTTTGGCGTCGTCGACGCCGACGCGCGCGCTCGCGAGCTCGCCGTCGAGTCGGCACTTGACGCCGGGTCTCTGGCCATCATCGGCCGCTTGCGCGCCGTCGCGGCCGCGCGCCGCGCCCTCGGCAGCGGCAGCGTTGTGCGCCGGCGGCGGCAGGCCGAGGGCCCAACCTCAGAATCGTGCTTTTTGGGTTGGGTTGGGTTGTTGGCCCGGGTTGGGTTGTTCCGCGTGAGGTTGGGTCGTCGGCGCGAATGGTGAGGTCTCGACCGCCGCCGCTCACGCCAGCGGACGGCCACCATCGGTGTTTTTGGCTTCGCCACCGTCCAAGGCGTGTGCCATGCGCTCGCCGGCATCGAGCGAGCAACGTGATCGACCGAGCGGCTTGCTGTGTGGACGCCTTCTTCAGGCTCTCGTCGAGAGCGTTTTGCGTCCCGGCGGGTGGGAGAATATGTGTCGTCTGATGTGTCACTGTGTACGTCACATCGGTCTTGATAACAAGCACGGTCGATCCGTCGAAGCGATACACTCGTTCCTATCACGCTGAAAGGCTTGCACGGAGCTCTGTGCCGGCACACAGAAGAGCCGTGCGGCAAGAGAAGAGCTCGCTCCCCATCGAGCTCTTCTTGTGTGACGGCGGAGTTGACGCCTCCGACGGTCGTAGCGGCGTGGCTGAGGGCGGCGGTGGAGGCGCCCGATAGCGCGGCGAGGATGGTCTCATGGGTCTAGCAAACCATAGACGACACCAAGAGAACGCGAGGTAAAACCCGACGGCTATGGATGGTAAAAGGCGGCGGTAAAACCCATCCATACGGGTTTCGGTGGGTTGGATGGGTGGTAGAATGTCTACCTACCGCACCCCCCCCAATGTCGCTGGGCGGGATCGGCCCGCAGAGGCGACGAGCTGGCTGCGAGTCCCGCTGGCCCAGAAGCCGTGGAGCCGGCGGAAGATTTCGCCTCTGCGATACGCCTTCCTCCACAAGCGGTTGATGAAGGGGACGATGTCGGTCTTGACGAGCTTCGTCTTGAGCTCGTTAACCTCGGCCGCCGAAAGCGCCTTGAATGACTTGCGGCTGGCAGAGGTGGCGCCGGAGACGCTGGCGCAGTTGAGGAGCGTCCGTAGTTCATCGACGGTGACATTGGCAGGGGCGGAGCCGGCGGCATGTGGGGGCGCGGCGCCGGCACCAGGCGTAGGCGCTGGAGGCGGCACTGGCGCGGGCGGCGGCTGTGGCGCTGCTGGTGGCATCCAGGCCTGAGACGGGTACGTGCCTGCGCCTCCGCAGAGGGGCGGGATGGCGCCGTATGCACCGGCGGGTTGCGGGTAGCAGTAGGCCTGCTGCTCCCACTGGGCAGGGTGGATGGAGCCTCCTGGCTGAGCCATGCCCTGCATGAAGGGGGGCAATGCCGGGTCCATTATGCACTGCTGCGGCATGCCGTACTGTTGCTGCGGCGAATACATAGCGGGCTGCGAGTACAGCTGGCCGGCGCTGGCGCAGAAGGGCTGGCTGAAGAAGGGCTGTGGGGCTCCACACCCGCCATGCATATGCAGTTGCTGGGCCGGCGGGACCGGCTGCATCGGCATTGCGCATTGGCTGTGCGATGCCGCACCACATTGCGATGGTGATGCGTAGGAGCCGGCGGGCGGCACGTGCCCGACGGGTGGCTCGTGCCCAGTCGTCCCTGGTGGCGGGCCGGTGGGCAGTGGCGGCAGCTGCTGCGGTGGCGGCCGCAGCACTGGTGGCGGCGGCCGCATGGCAGGCGCTGAGCCTGCGGGTGGATTGGCGTGTTGGGCTGGCGCTGGACCGCGATCAGAGCTGATACCATGTGACGGCGGAGTTGACGCCTCCGACGGTCGTAGCGGCGTGGCTGAGGGCGGCGGTGGAGGCGCCCGATAGCGCGGCGAGGATGGTCTCATGGGTCTAGCAAACCATAGACGACACCAAGAGAACGCGAGGTAAAACCCGACGGCTATGGATGGTAAAAGGCGGCGGTAAAACCCATCCATACGGGTTTCGGTGGGTTGGATGGGAGGTAGAATGTCTACCTACCGCATCTTGCCGCACGGTTCTTGCACAGGGGACCTTTCCTTCCTCTTGCCGCCAGTGTGTCGTAGCGTCGAGAGCATCGTCGCTACCTTGGCTGGGCGCGAAACGGACCGGAGCGTCGAACTCCGGAACCACCCCCTCAGTTGCCGGGAGAAAAGACTTATGAACACGAAACAACCCAACTCAAAGCACGATTCTGAAGTTGGGCCCTCAGGCCGTCCGAGGCGAACGCCATTCGAATGAAGCGCTGTTCAAGCTGCCCGTGCCAGTGCCGTGGGTCCCGTAAAATTCTTTTCTAGACGCCGCAGCCAAAAGGCGGTCCAGCGAGCGAGCAGAAGGCTGCCACCCAGGCGCGGGGCCTAGCTTCCGCAGCGCGCCGGGGCGGGCACACTCCGCCTAGCGCGCCGCCGTCCGCTTCCTTGAAGCGCCCTGTCAGTCTGCAGCCGGCGATCGCGCGTGCGGTGCACGCTGTGCGGCGTCGCGGCACAGCACCGCCGCAGCGCAGAGCCGCAGCGCAGGGCGGCTGGGCGCGCACACGGACCCACGCGACGACCGCCGCCCACCACGTGGCGAGCAGCGAGACGTGAGAAAGCAGTGCAGGTCTCGCCGATGGCATGAGCGAAATCATAAGTTGTCAGCGCCTCGAGGCGTAAGTTGCCACGACACACTCGCACGCGCGTTCCATCCTCGAGCTGCACCACGTACCGATCAGCTTCAGCTGAGTAGTTGACGATTGTGCCACTCTGCTCATTCATGACGGTGTGGGCAGCAAGCTTGCACAGCGCTACTTTGGTCCCTGCGGGCGGGACGCAGCGGCTCGCATCGACATCATCATCGTCATCTGCCATCTCGGCGGCGTCGGCGCATTCGTGCTTTGCTCCGTACATTTCGACCAGCGCAGCGCGGCCAGCGCTGGTTTGAAGCTTCGAGACGAGCTCGAGCACCTGCAGGCGCGGGGGCTGCGACTGGTTGGGCGCGAGCGCTACGTGCGGCAGCGGCAGTAGCAGCAGCAGCTTGCCTGCGGCAGATCATCTTCGCCGGCCGCGTCTAGCACCATGCGCATAACGCCTTTCGTCTCCGGCTCATGACGCAGGTGCCTCTTTGCGTTGGCGCGCTCTTTGCCGCCGACGATGTACGTGCCTCCTTGCAATTTCGCTGCGTGGACACTCCATCGTCAACTACGAGCTCGAGTGTGTCGGCCAGTGATCGAGAAGTTGCTTGTTTGGGCCGTGCAACATCGAGGAGACGCTGCAGCATCTTGATGGCATAGCCGTCGCCATCGCCGTGGTCCTCATCAGCAGCGGCTCCGCTCTCCCTTTCCTTCCTCTTGCCGCCAGTGTGTCGTAGCGTCGAGAGCATCGTCGCTACCTTGGCTGGGCGCGAAACGGACCGGAGCGTCGAACTCCGGAACCACCCCCTCAGTTGCGGGGAGAAAAGACTTATGAACACGAAACAACCCAACTCAAAGCACGATTCTGAAGTTGGGCCCTCAGGCCGTCCGAGGCGAACGCCATTCGAATGAAGCGCTGTTCAAGCTGCCCGTGCCAGTGCCGTGGGTCCGGTAAAATTCTTTTCTAGACGCCGCAGCCAAAAGGCGGTCCAGCGAGCGAGCAGAAGGCTGCCACCCAGGCGCGGGGCCTAGCTTCCGCAGCGCGCCGGGGCGGGCACACTCCGCCTAGCGCGCCGCCGTCCGCTTCCTTGAAGCGCCCTGTCAGTCTGCAGCCGGCGATCGCGCGTGCGGTGCACGCTGTGCGGCGTCGCGGCACAGCACCGCCGCAGCGCAGAGCCGCAGCGCAGGGCGGCTGGGCGCGCACACGGACGACCGCCGCTCACCAGCATGCACCGTCGGGGCAGCCAGCCACGGCGTGCTCAGTTCCCGCCGCTCGCGCGCAGGTCAGCCGGCGATGGCAAAGGCATCGTCGTCGACAGAAGCAGACCTCAAATCGATGACCATCTCCGGTGCGCCGCCACGCCGCAGCTCGCGCGCGCCACGCCCCTCCCCCCTCGCTCGCACGCGCCACCCTGCCCGGGCGACAGCTCGCGGCGCTGGTTACCCTGGAGGGCAAGGCGCTGATTGCGGCGCCTTCTCCCGCAGGCAGCGATGCGCGCGGCGGGGCGAGCAGTAGTAACGGCGGAGCGGACCCTCCGTCGCGCTGGGTCTTTGTCAATGAGCGTGTCATCGGCAACGGCTCCTTTGGCGTCGTCTACCGGGCGCACGTCAAGCAGAATGACAAGGAAACCGCGTCCCCCCCCCCCCCCCTCCGCCTCCGCGCCCGCTTGCGGCCGTGCCCTCTCCTTGCGCGCGGGCCAACGCAGCTGCGGCGCCGCGGCGGCCTCTGAAAAGCGCGGCCGCCACGCCGGCGCAGGAGGTGGCCATCAAGAAGGTGCTCCAGGACAAGCGCTTCAAGAACCGCGAGCTCCAGATCATGAAGATGCTCGACAACCACGTCAACGTGACGACGCTCCACCACTTCTTCTACACCGAGGGGGAGAAGGCGCACGCCGCACTGGCCACACCGACCCCTCCCCCCCCCCCCCTCGCCGGGGCGTCGACCCCGAGCTTCGCCCGCGCCCCGCGCTGCAGGCAGATGACACGTACCTCAACCTTGTGATGGACTTTGTGCCCGAGACTGTGTACGGACTCTCGCGCCACTACGCAAAGGCCAAGAAGGTCTTCCCGCTGCTGCACCTGAAGCTGTACGTGTACCAGCTTTGCCGCTCGCTCGCCTACATCCACTCCCTCGGCGTCTGCCACCGCGACATCAAGCCGCAGAACCTGCTCGTCGACCCGACGAGCCACGTGCTCAAGCTGTGCGACTTTGGGAGCGCAAAGATCCTGGTCAAGGGGGAGCCAAACGTGTCGTACATCTGCTCGCGCTACTACCGCGCGCCGGAGCTCATCTTTGGCGCCACCGACTACAGCTGCTGCATCGACGTCTGGTCCGCGGGCTGCGTGCTCGCCGAGCTGCTCTTGGGCGTGCCCCTCTTTCCGGGCGAGTCTGGCGTCGACCAGCTGGTCGAGATCATCAAGGTGCTGGGCACGCCGACGCTCGACGAGATCCAGTCGATGAACCAAAACTACACGGAGTACAAGTTCCCGCAGGTCAAGCCGCACCCGTGGGCAAAGGCGCGCCGCCCTCCTCCCCCCTCGGCCGCCGACCGCGCGCCAGTCTCCCGCCTCACCACGCCGGCCGCGCGCGAGCAGGTCTTCCGACCGCGCACGCCGCCGGACGCCATCGAGCTCGTCAGCTCGTTCCTCCGGTACGCCCCCGACACGCGTGCCAAGCCCCTCGACGGCTGCGCGATGCCCTTCTTCGACGAGCTGCGCGCGCCCGACCTGTGCATACCGCCGAGCAATCGGCCGCCGCCGCCGCTCTTCGACTTCAAGCCGCAGGAGCTCTTCGAGCACGCGCCCGGCATCAAGCACCGACTGGTGCCAGAGTGGTACGCGAAGCGGCAGCAGCAGCAGTCCTAGGCGCGCCGCTTGCGCCACCGCATATGCGCGCTGGTTTGCTCCCCCGGTCACCCATCCCCGCATCTGACGAAGGCGCGCGCGGTCTTCATCCCGCGTTTGGCGCAGGCAGCCGGGCCACTGGCGCCGCGAGTCAAAACTTGCGCACATGCATGCGCTGTGCAGAGCGAGGCCAAGGGATGGTAGCTTAAGGAAGCGGAATTCCTCTCTCTCTGCGACACATCGCGGCGGGTTCGTCGCTCTTGAGGCCGCCGGAAGCGCCGCGCACACATCGTAGCTCCCACTGTGAGTCGGGTTTATCGTCGTGGGGTAGCGTCGGTGCCCATTGTTGTTGAGTAGAAAATATGGAAGGTAAAGTGAAGGAGTCCTGCTGGAGGTGCGTTAAAGTTAACGTGTGCGGCCGACTGGGGGTGCGGGTGGGGAGTGTGGTGGACTGGCGTTGTGGCGACTGGGGGACTCTGCCCGCTCGCCGCTGCCATGGATGCAGACAGTAAAGCTTAAAGGCATGAATCGCGAACACTCGAGGAATCGAATGGTGGAACGAAAAGTGGAGAAAGTTTGCCAGAATTGTACGCGACAAAAAATTCCTCTCCTCGTCGCGGCACGCGGGAGGCCCAGCCTCCGGTCAGGGTCAGGCTGAGAGAGAGATTTTTAGCAATACCAAACAACTCTAACACTCACACGTCATTTGGGGCCTGGAGCCCTGTTCACGCGCGCGCGAGACGTGCAGACAGGGTTGCCAGGTGAGAGCGAATGGCGCGGTTCACCGGCCTCGCACAACAGAGTCAGAGAGAGAGATGCGCTCTGCATGGTGGGACATAAAAGAGAGCGAGTACTTGGGCGAGTAGGCCGTGCGGTCGACGCTGCCGCGCGCGACTTTGCGCGCGAGGCGGCGCAGCTTGAGAACGGCGGTGGGCGAGAAGCCGCCGCCGAACGTCTCGTGGAGCAGCAGTTTGTTTGTCAGGCTGATGCCGGTGCGGATGGCCAGGAAAATCATCAGCACTTGGAGCACTTGGAGTGCAGTCATCAACCTCACATCCAGGGCCGGGGTGGGGAGCTAAGAAGCGCACCCAGCGGGCCGGATGATTGGCATCGGGCTACGGGCTAGAGAGCCCTGACCCCTGCCCTAGGGGGGGGTGCGCGTTCGCAGGGAAAGCGGGCCGTAAAATAAACACGGGTCTCCGAGGGTTGGCTCTGCGCTCCGGGTTTCCCCTAGCAGCGGAACCCCCCCTCTAGCTCTACTCGGAGCTAGTAGACACCAGACACTAGCACGACCATCAGAAAAATCATCTTCACAACACATTATTATGTTTATGACAACGAAAAAACTTCAGCAAATCCGGTGAGTTCTTCGGCCGAGGAATCTCTTTTGTCTTTTCCGACTTCCCAGGGGCGGAGGGGTAAATAAAAAACCCGAAGAGAGGAGTGGGAAAACCGCTTCCACTCGCGCGGGCGGGAGACGGCGCGTTTAGCCGCGAACGGGGCCATGCCAGACGAGTCGCCTGCGGTTGGGACGCCAGCCGAGACGGGTGCGGCGGGCGCTGGGAGCCTATTCACAGAGGGCTCAACGGGGATTTTTCGCTTCGTTCGCAGCGCGGCCTGGGAACAGGTAGGTAGGTGGGGCACGGAGCCTGGCGGTTGGCGCCCGCAATAGGTAGGTAGGTAGGGCGTTTTGGCGCGAGTCAGTCGCCAGACCCCCTCTCCGGGTAGGAGCCGGAACCCTGTTGGTCAGGCCAGACAACCACGCGCAGGCTCTTCGGCCAGGTGAGCGAACGCATGACGTTGACCGCCGATACGACCCTCTACCTCCACTACGAGGAGAGCTCACCCGAGTTCACGATGAAATGTACCGTCGGCGGAGAGGCTCTTGGCGCCGCCGCCGTCCTCGAGCGCTTTGCGCACGCCTACTCCAAGCAGACAGGCTCGCCGCTCGCGCCGGGAGGCCTCCACCTGCGAGACTCGCGCGGCGCCGCGATCGCGTGCGGCGCGCTGCTTCCGTGCGGTCTATCGAACGGGGCAGACCTCTTCGTCTCGGTCGAGGGCCCACCGACAGCCGACGCTGCGCCTCAGGCGGCGGCGCCGGCGCCGCCCGCAGTCACGGCGGCGGCGCCGGCGGCGGCGTCGAGCGGGCCCGCACGGGTGACTGCCAAGGAGGGCTCGGCGATTGCGTCGAGCCAGGCCAGGATGGGAGAGCACTCCTACTACTACTCGGTGGGCAAGGCCGGCGACCCGGAGCGGCCGCCAGTGCCGCAGCCACAGCGCACGTGTGTGGAGCGGGTGGCCGCGGGCGCGCCCGAGGCGACCATCTCTTCCTTCTCCTTCGAGGACACCGATGCGCTCGTCAAGCTCCACATCCCGCTCGCCGGCGCCGGATCGCTGCCCGCAGGCGCCGCCTCTTCCCTCTCGCCCCCGCTGCCTGCCCGCAGCCTCTCACCTCTCACCCCTCGCTGCCGCCACCGCCGCGCAGGCGCGATCCGATGCGACGTGCGGCACCGCTCATTCGACCTGCGCGTGACGACGGCGGGCCGGCTGCTGCGGCTGCACGTGCGTGCCCTCCGCCCGCGGCGCTGCACCGCTTCACGGGCGGGAGAGGGCTCCACCACCTCCACCCCCTCCGACCACATGGCCGTGTTTGGCAAAACGATGGGCGAGGGTGGTATGTCTGTCGCAACGGGTGCGTTATGTGCCCTGCGCGCAGGTGCCGCTGCTGCACGAGGAGGTGGAGCCAGCTCGCTGCGCGCTCAAGACGAGGCAGCGACGGCCCGGGAGGGGGGGGGAGACGCGTTGCGGAGGGGCGGGGAGGAGGAGGGGCGAGGGGCGGGGAGGAGGGGCGAGGGGCGGGGAGGAGGGGCGGGGAGGAGGGGCGAGGGGCGGGGAGGCGCGTCTCTCCGAGTGTGAGCCTCTCGCGCGGGGTGCCGCGCCTCCTCCCTGTCCCGAGGACCCGAACCCGCCCTGCCCGCCCCGCTGGCCGCCGAAGCCGGGCGCGAGGAGCCAAAGCCTGGAGGGAGAGGCTCGACAAGGCTCAGGGAAGAGAGCACCCGCGCCCGCGCCCCGCCCGTCCGCGAGTAGGACCCTCCTCCTCCTCCTCCTCCTCGGGCGGCGGGTGCAGCCACCCCTCCTCCCGCACTGCAGGGCGGGCAAGTTGCTCCTCGTGCTCGCCAAGGCCGAGGCGAAGCAGTGGTTCGAGCTGCGAAAGAGCAAGGGCGTCGGCGACACCGAGTTCCTCAAGCTCGTCCCCGACTCGGGAGAGACTCGCACCATCATCGTCTGACGCGCCCCCACAGTCGAGAGCCGCGGTTGCCGGCTCGAGCTCAGGGAGAGACGGTCACAGGCAGCGTAGGGCGGGCGTGGGGGGTCAGTGTCCAGGAGTGACACACGCGCGATCGACCGAGACAGTAGGGGTTGCTAGGTGGCCAAGTGAGAGGTGCTAGGTGGCGGCCAAGGCAGCGTAGGCGGGAGGCGCTCTAGCCTCTATAGGCGTCTCTAGGGTGCACTAGGCTCTAGGCACGACGAGTCCGAGTTCGGAGTTGGTCTACTAGTGATAAAAACGAGCCCTTTTCGCATGCGAGGTCTGGTCGTAAAAAAAAGACGAGAGCGCGACAGAGAGACGGAGGGGCGGCCCCCCCGGATAGCTTTTCGGCGGCTGCACTGCAGACTGCACGCTGGTCGGCGGACGGCGCGCGCAGCGGGCGCTGAGCGGTGTCGCCTCGCTGCTATCGAGGCACTCAGGCGGCGCCGTTGAGGAAGGCGAAGTCGGGCTTCTTGACGGCGTACGCGCGGAAGGACTCGGTGCACGCGCGCAGGTCCGCCTCGAGGGACTTGAAGCGCTGCCCCGTCGTGCCCGTCACGAGGCCGACGATGGCGCCGCCGACGACGTGCACGCAAGCGGTCCCCTTCCGGTCGACGGTGAAGCCGGCGCGCGTCAGCAGCGTGTAGCCTGCGCGGGGCGGGCGCGGCGACGGGTGCGGCGACGAGTGCGGGTCTCACGAGGAGAGGAGGGTGGCGGTAGGCGGGTGCGGCGAGGTGCGGCGGAGGGGCAGGCGAGGGATGGGCGAGGGATGGGCGAAAGTGTTTGCGTGCGCACCAAAGTCGATGTAGGCAACGTCCATGCCGTCGGCCGCGGTCAGCCTCTTGACCTTGCCAACCTGCGCCGGGGCGCGGGGCGCGGGCGTGTGCAAGGGCGGGGCGGGCGAAGGAGGAGGCCGGCGGAGGAGGGCAGCGGAGGAGGGCGGCGGGGGCGGCGGCGGCGGCGCCTTGACATCCTCGTAGACATCGGCAGTCATTTGGGAGACGAGGAAGGTGGTCAGGAAGGCCTGCGCAGGGGAAGCCGCCGGGGCCGGTCGGGCGAGGAGGCAGAGGCGGATGCGGGAGGGAGGGAGGAGCACAGCGGAGGAGGAGGGGGGAGGAACCAGGAGCGAGGGCAAGAGAGGGAGCGGGAGCACTGCGGTGCGGGCGCCTTGTCAATCGACTCGAGCGTCTTGCCGGGCGGGAGCTTGGCGGCGACAAAGTCTGCAAAGTCGCCTGGGAGAGCGCGCGGGCGCATGGTGAGCCGCCGCCGCCGCCAGCGGGGTGGAGCGGTGGCGGTGGCGGCGGCTCGCCTTTGAGATAGTTGTTCGCAGCGATCTTGCCCGCCTCGCCGTTCTCGGTGAGGGTGGGCGTCTCAACGAGCCAGCCCGACGGGTACAGGAACTTGACCAGCAGCGTGCTGTCAAACGCGCGCTCCTTTTGCTTGGAGCCGTCAATGTTGGCCGGCGGCGCCGCGCCAATATACTGCACAAGAGGGGACAGGCCGTTGACCTTTGGCAGTGGCGGAAAGCCCTGCTGCTGGAGGAACTTGGCCACGTCCTTTTCGCCCGTCGGCATGCCCTCGTTCACTCCGCGCACAGTGGTGCCATCTGAGGCGACGCCAGCTGCGAGCGCAGACAGCGGCGCCGGCAGCGCGGCCAAGGCGGCGGAGCGGGCGAGCAGGCCCCTCCGCGACAGTCCCTCGCCCGGCGCGGCGCGTCCGAGCTTGATCGAGGATGTCGGCGTCGAATACGCGAGCAGCAGGAGCAGACAAGCTCGGAGCGAGGACATTGACCCCGACTTCCCGGGTTCGGACTTTTTGTATGGTATGGTTCTACCGATTCGAGCCTGGCTGTTCTTCACCTTTCTACCTACCTACCCACCTCGAGACCATACCCCCCCCCGCCTGTTGACAGACCCAGCCTTCCGCGGACCGGACCATACCCCCCCCCCCCCCCCGCCTCCCCCTCGCCCCACCGCCGGCCGGCCGCCTTCCTGCTAGGCTCCAGGAGGAGGCTACAGACACCGACACTTAGGACACGCACACTTAGATACGCGCGGATGGCCGCCGCCTTCCACGGTGCTAGTCTAGAAGTAAATATCAAATTTTCTTAGCTTCTTGCCCCCCTCCGAGACTGGAGACAGAACCCACCCGTACACAGGAGAGATGGGACTGCCCCCCGCCCCCGCTTGCCCTGACTGCACAGGATAGCGTGCCCCAATCGGCGACACATAGCGGGGGACACTGCGCAAGGAGGGGGTGCGACGGCTTTCTTTGTCCTCTCGAGGGAATGTTCTCTCGGCGCCCATGGCAAACACAAAACAATTTGAGGGCATTGCTCGCGCCGACGCCTCGCCCCAGGCGCGCTCCGCGACCTCGCGTGGCTCCAGGCGCAGCTGCCGACCGAGATGGGCGGGTGCAACATCGACACCGCCTTCACGCGAGCCGACAGCGACTTCTCCATGTCGCTCCTCAAGAACTGGCGCACCCTCGTCGCCCACAACCCCGACTTCGCCCTCGACGAGGGAGGTGCGTCCAAGTACCCCGCCATGCGCCATCGCCGCAGCTATCGCCACCTACGAGTCCGCCCTCTCGGACTGGAAGGAGGTGTGCGAGAAGCGCACCGCCCGCGACAAAAACAAGTACCACACCGTCCGCGGCGGCTACCTGACTGAGTTCTACCCCAAGAGCGTCCCGCTCCCCCAGCCCGAGTCCCTTCCAGCTACCGACGCGATTCTCAATGGCACTTGCAAATCCACGTACCCGCGGCCGCGGGCGCTCGCTGCCATCAAGAATCACAAGGACTGGAACGCGCACCAGGAGCTCGTCAAGGCGCGGGATGTGCACGTCAAGAACAACCCGTCCCTCGGAGACAGCGCCGTCAACAACCGCGAAGCCGCGCGCTTCGTCTCCGCCTCAACGCCTTTCGCCGGCAAGGCCTTCGATGTCCGTGTCGACGGTACGTACGCCACCGCCCTCTCCTCCGACACCCTCCAGGACGAGCTCCAGCGGAAGCTCGGCCTTTGGCTCTCCGTGGCGCTTCCCACCCTTCGGGTCGCGCTCGAGCGGGGCATGCCAGTCGATTTCTTCGGCGACTACCTTTACAACAAGGCCCACCACCGGCGGCCCCACGACGGCGTCCTCGCCGCCTGGGCGGACGCGATGCGCGCCCCGGCCAACGCGCCGGTCGTGCACGGCGACAAGGAGAAACCAGAGCTCACCCGGCAGTACAACGAGGGGTACAAGGTCGACCTCGCAGAACCCCATGCGGGACCGGGGGGGTGCGATGAAGTGAATGAAATCAAGCTCTGGACGCCCCTCCTCAAGACCTACCTCCTCGCCGGGCGTTGGCAACGCCTCGAGTGGCGGCACGCCCGCCTCCGTTGGCCACTCCTACGCCTTCGGCAACACCGAAGAGAAGGCCCGCCGCCTAAACATGGGCTGCAAGGCGCGCGGGCAGCCCAGCCAACCCTTCTCCCACAAGACCGGCCACGGCTACGTCAAGGCGCATCGCGGTTTCTACCACGACGCGATCTTTGTCAAGCGCAACAACTTCAACCTGCTGCTCCACGAGACGTTCGGCGGCGGCTTCTCGCCCACCGCCGTTCTCAAGCTGCGCCGCCTCGCGCGCAAAGTCGCGCGCGGCAGCGTTGACCGCACAGCGCCTACTCGCCCAAGTACTCGCTCTCTTTTATGTCCCACCATGCAGAGCGCATCTCTCTCTCTGACTGCGTGACTCTGTTGTGCGAGGCGTGAACCGCGCCATTCGCTCTCACCTGGCAACCCTTTCTTTTTTACCAACCCTCGGTAATGTGCTACGGGTATGGGCCGCCGGTTCGACGCTACCGGTCCACGAACATCTAAACTGCTGAGGTCGGCCGGTGGCACCTCGATGGTCGAGTGACCCTTATATTATTTTTCACACCTGAGCGGGCTCAATTTTGCTCTGATGCCTCCTACGTATTCGAACTCAAGTTCTCGGGCAGGCGCCCGGTGCGTTGCCGTTGGTCGTTTTTCGTCACGGGAGTTAGAGAGAGAGATTTTTTGTTTTGTTTGGAGTTAGTGCCCCTGCTAGCTAGTCTAGAAGTAGAGCGCGGCGGCAAAGTCGGCTATCGCCTGGCGAGCGGCGGGCGCGGCACCCGCGCCGGTCGCCGCACCCGCACCCGCAGGCGCCGCGCTGGCCGTCCGCGCGGCTAAAGTACCATACCCCCCCCACCGGCTAGCCTTGGGCGGTCAGGACCATACCCCCCCACCCTTTTGGCGCCGAGGGCACCATACCACACCCCGGAAAAAGTACAGAAGAAATTTGCCTCCACTGCGAAGAGAGAAGGAGGGGCTCCACCATTTCTTCATTCCTAATCAATAGAGGCGGCTCGAGCCGCGCTCCCTGGGGATCTCGCCGCAATGCTGTCGGTCGCCACCTTGGTCCTTTCCGACGCCTACGACCGGCTGAACGCCGGCGCGAACCTCGAGAAGCAAAGGGAAAGAGCAAAGCAAGGCGGTTACCTTCTCTCCGCGCCGTGTGCGGCAGCCGAGGAGACGGGCGCCTGCGAGATGCAGGTGTGCATCCGGTCCGCGGCCAACTTGCCCGGCCGGGTCGATTCCTGGCCGCGCAAGCCCGCGCCGGAAAGCTGGGTGAAGGTCGAACTCGGTGGTCGCCTCGTTTGCAAGGCCCGCCACACACGCCTCGCCGCTCGCCTTGCCGCTTGCGACACGCGGCCTCCGCCTTGAACGCCTCGCCACGCCCCCCCCACCGCTCAGACCGGCAAGCACGACAACAACGAGACGCCGCTCTGGGACATGTGCTGCCACGTCCACGGCCACCACGAGCACTCCGAGTACTTCTTCTCCGTCTTCGACTCTGACCTCACCGGCGACGAGGCGGACTGGCTCGGCACCGCGGTGCTGCCCGCCAACTCGACGGCCGGCTCCTACGTGCTCGCCCTCTCGGGAGGCGAGTTCGAGGTCGACGCCGACGCGCCGGCGCCCACCCTGACCGTCAGCATCCCGCTCTTCCCGCCGCCGCCGCCGCCGCCGCAGAACATCGACGCCGTCAAGGTTGCCCCCGAGCAGACTCTCTCCCGCCGCCTGCCCTCCCACACCCCTCCCACACACACGCAGAGGCAGGCTCCTGGACTCACAGCCTCCCCCCCCGGCCCTGCAGGTTGGCGGCGGGGCGACCGACAAGCTCCTCTTTGACGAAGCCAAGGCTGGCGCCGAGGCGCAGCGGCGGCGCAAGGGCCCCGAGTGCGTCGCGGCCGTGAATGAATTCAGAGTGGTGGGGCTGGACTAGGCGCACGAGCTACGCAAGTACCTGTGCGTCATGTCGGCCAAGGGGCTCGTCGAGGCGGACTACTTCCCGCGCGTGGGCAAGTACCGCTACCCGGACAGCTGGGTCAAGATCTCGACCTTCCGCGAGGAGAACGAGCGCATCGGACTGAGCCCCGAGTTTGTGACATACGCGCTGACGCACGGCGACGAGGCGACGCGCCAGAAGGTGTACCGCGCGACCGAGGAGCACACGGCCGTGATGACGACGCAGATGGAGGAGGACATCCTCTCCAACCTCGAGAAGGAGGACGATGTCGCCGAGGTGCGAACCTCGCTCCTCTCCTCTCTCTCTCTCTCTCTCTCTCTCTCTCTCTCTCTCCCTCTCTCCCTCTCTCTCTCTCTCCCTCCCTCTCCACCCCCCCCCCCCTCTCCGCTCTCTCTCTCTCTCTCCCTCTCCCTCTCCCTCTCCCTCTCTCTCTGCCCTTTGCAGCGAAAATTGCAGACTCCCTCACGCGACTGCGTGCTCTCTCCCTCTGAGTCAGAGCCGAGATATAGCCGAGATATAGGCGAGATGTAGGCGAGATGTAGGCGAGGTCCCGGGGGCGAGACGTGGCCGAGGTCCCGAAAAGTCGGTCCAGCAGAGATGGTAGCCGAGGTCGAGGCGGGGTCCAGCCGAGGTATAGCCGAGGTCGAGCCGCGGTCTCCGCTGCGTGCAGGCGCACAACGACCGGCCGGGCACGGTGCCGACGTACGAGTGCGCGACGCACGTCGTCTCCAACTCGCTCGAGCCGAACTGGTCGAGCTGCTGCGACATCACCGAGGCGAGGGGGCGGACAGGCCTCCCCCGCCCTGACTGGTGTGTGGTGAGGTGCGGGCGACGGAGCGGCCAATAGGCGGAGGGGAAGGCCTTCCTCCTCGAGCTCTTCGATGAGGCAGCGACTCTCTCCTCCCCTCCCCTCTCTCTGTCACGCACACGCACTCGCACTCGCACACACACACACACACACACACACACACACACACACGCCCCTCTCCGCAGGACTCGTTCTACTTCGTGAACGACTACATGGGTGCCAACCTGATGACAGACCTCGAGGAGGGGCAGTACGAGCTGCCCATCCTCGGCGGCGTCGCGGGCCACACCGACGCGGGCGCCTACTTCAACGTGCAGGTCATCACGTCCAAGCACGAGCCGATCGACCACATCGGTGAGAACTGCTGGGACGCGTGCGGCGGCATGGGAGGCCTCTGCCCCGGCTACTGCGGCGCGCTCGGCGCCTGCTGCAAGGCGCCCTCCGCCGACGCGGCCCTCGGGCACGAGCCGGGCTGCCCCGACCACGGCACAGACCCGGACTGGCACTCCTGCGTCTGCGCGGACATGACCACACTCGGCGACCACCAGGCGCGCCTGCCCCGCTAGCACGGCGCTAGCCATGTAGCCGAGGGGAGAGCAGGGAGCGGGCCTGGAACCAAGCCCGGCTCTCCAACGCGCACCAGAATTCCCAGACTGCCGCCTTGATGCGACCGGCCCCCCCCCCC